GAAATCGCAAAGTCCTGGGAGATATAGAAGGAATATGGCTGAGTTGCTCGCTATTTCGTTCAAAGAGTCATGGAAAATATAATCATTTTTCGTGAATTTATCTTAACTTTGAGCGGTTAAAAAATGGGATTCATAGGGATGTAGTTCTCTAACGTAAAGCTAAGTGCTATTAATAGAGATGCTTTTTTTGCTCGCCTGATTTGAGGAGCTACGAAATTCGGGCATGATCCTCACATTTAGAGCTAGCTAGAAGCATAAACTGCATGAAAGCAACACTAGTAGAAGCACTTGTTAACTGGTTTGCAAGCCTACTGCAAAATAGTGAAATCTCGAAAAGGAACAGCTACATATGTTGAAGGTAAGATTACAACGTTCTGCAGAAACGATGGCATATGATGTCGGAATTTGCTCTAAGAACGGAGGTGGGAACTCGACAGCGAATCGATCGTTTTCGCTGTAAAACCTTACCTGTTAACATTTATTATGAGGGGAGATGGGTAATTCAATACCTCGAATGCATGTGGACAATGACTGACTTTTGGTTGTGAAAGGACACTAGCACCGGATGCCCTACAAAAGATTTTTTTCAAAAAAATTTTTATTAGAGAATCATTTATTTTAGAAATACTCGTGCTGCATCATCTGACCGTTCATGTTCAGAACCATTTTGTCAAATAAAAAAAACCACGACTATCAGGTTTACTTTATCCCATCATATCTCTAGGGAACTGTTGAAGTACATTTGTAACTTCCTTACTGGAAGTTAATACACAGTATCAACACAAAAACCAAAATGTAGTGAACACATTGGCTACAAAATCATACATGTATCAGTTGCTCTAGATCTTGTTAAAATTAGTAACTCAGAACTTCTGCAAGGATTATGTACCTATGACTTTTCTCTAACTTTTCCGCCGCCTCTTGCTGGCTAACAGTGCAGGTAATTCTTCTTAGTCTAATAATTTGATGTAAGAAATGTAGAGGAAAGTAGTACTGATACTCAAAGAAAGTTAGGAATACATTGTCATGACAAGTATATAATGGTTCACATTTTGCCCAGAATTC